ATAACAATACTGGAGACCCAAATGTGCAGCAGATGAACAAACTGATACACTCACAGTGGACTGCTCTACAGCAACGAAAATTAACTACTTACGAGTCTCACAAATATTGAGTGAAAGAACCTAGACACAAAAAAAGCATGAGTCCATTATATAATGTTCAAAAATAGGCAGTACTCATCTATTGTGTTAGAAGTCAGAGAAGAAGAGTGTGTTGTGGAGGGGGCATGAAGGAGACTTCTAGAATGCTGGTACTATTCTAGTCTTTGACCTGGACTGGAGTTAAAGAGGTTTGTTCACTTTGTGATAACTCACTGTGTGGTATGTTTATGATTTATGCATTTTTCCAGTTTTAAAATGTAATTCAGATGTGTAGCACTCAAGTTTAAAATGTACAGCATGATTTGACTTACATATATGAAATGATTACAATAAAGTTAATATCACCCTACAAAGGAAAAACTTTTTTCCTTGTGGTAAGAACTCTTAGGATTTAATCTCAACAACTTAAATATTTACCACATTGCAGTGTTAAATAACTAAAGTCATCATGTTGTACACCTCTAGTATTTATAACTGGAAGTTTGTGCCTTTTGACCACCTTCCTTAATTGTTCTCTCCCTGCACCCCCACCTGGTAACATGTCCTATCTTTTTCTTTGGCTTGCTTCATTTCCTTTCCTGGCTTGCTTCATTCTGCAGGTCTATCTATGTTGTTGCATATGGCAGGATTTCCTTTTTTATGGTTGAATAACATTCCATTGTGTATATACTACAACTTCTTTATCCACTTGTAGAAACTTAGGTTGTTTCTATATCTTGGCTACTGTAAATAATGCTGATGTGAACATGGTGGTACAGGTATCTCTTTGACATAGTGTTTTTGTTTCCTTTGGATATATTGCCAGAACTGAAACTGCTAAGGTGATATGGTAGTTCTTTTAATTTTTTGAGGAACCTCCTTACTATTTTCTATAATGGCTGCACCAGTTTATAATATAACCAACAGTACACATGGGTTCCCTTTTCTTCACATCTTTGCCAGCACTTGGTATCTCTTGTCTTTTTGATCCTTACAGGTAAGGAGATACTCACTGTGGTCTTGATTTGCATTTATCTTAATAATAAGTGATGTTGAGCATCTATTCATGTACCTATTGGCTGTCTATCTTTCTTGGACAAATACCTACTCAGGTTCTTTAAATCCATTTTTTAAAAATTTTGGTATCATTAATATACAATTACATTAGCAACACTGTGGTTACTAGATTACCCCCATTATCAAGTCCCCACCACATGCCCCATTACAGTCACTCTCCATCAGTACAGTAAGATGCTATAGTCACCACTTCTCTGTGCTATACTGCTTTCCCTGTGCCCCCCCACCCACATTATGTGTGCTAATTGTAATGCCCCTTATTCCCCTTCTCCCTCCCTCCCTTCCCATCCCCAACCCCCTGTCCCTTTCCCTTTGGCAACTGTTAGTCCATTCTTGGGTTCTGTGAATCTGCTGCTGTTTTGTTCCTTCAGTTTTTGCTTTGTTCTTATGCTCCACAGATGAGTGAAATCATTTGGTATTTATCTTTCTCTGCCTGGCTTATTTCATAAATCTATTTCTAAATAGGATTTTTTTTTTTGCTGTTGAGGTGTATGAGTTCTTTATATATGTTGTTATTTAATCCCTTATCAAGTATGTGGTTTGCCGATATTTTTCCTGTTCTGTGGGCTGTCTTCATTTTGTTGATTTCTTTTGCTGTGCAGGTTTTTAGTTTGATGTAGCTCCACTTTATTTTGTTGCTTGTGCTTTAAAATTATTGCTAACATATTCCATGAAACATTCCATGAAAATATAATTTGTAAATGCCATAGGCTATTTCAATTACGGACTTAGTTCTTTGCATAGAACCAAATTTTTATTTATTAAAAGTAATTAAGCTTTTAATTAAAAATTAATCCAAAAAATTATTGCTAAGATCCATGTTGAGCAGTTTTCCTGTAGGAGTTTTATAGTTTCTTGTCTTTAAGTCTTTAATCCATTTTGAGTTAATTTCTGTGAATGGTGTAAAGTAGGGGTGTAGTTTCATTATTTTACATGTGAATATCCAATTTTCTCTGCACCATTTATTGACGAGACTGTCTTTTCTCCATTGATTATTGTTGGATCCCTTATCAGATACTAGTTGATTTTGATGCATGGGTTTATTTCCTGGGTTTTTAAATCTGTTCCATTGTGTGTTTTTATGCCAGTATCAGACTGTTTATAACTATAGCTTTATAATATAGCTTGAAATCAGGAAATGTGATGCCTCCTGCTTTGTTGTTCTTAGGATTCCTTTGGCTCATCCATGTAAATTTTACATGGACAAAATGCCGTTGGAATCCTGATAGGGGTTATATTGCATCTATCTGTAGACTTTTGATATTATTGGCATTTTTAATATTAGTTCTTCCAGTCTGTAAACACAGGATTCCCTTCCATTATGTCTTCCTTGATTTTGATCATCAGAGTCATAGTTTTCAGAGTAGAGATATTTTACTTCCTTGGTTAAATTTATTCCTGTCTTACTGTTTTTGATGCTATTGTAAATGGTTCCATTTTTTCTTTTTCACATAATGTTAGGATGTAGAAATGCTACTTCTTTTTGAATGTTTTTTATTCAGCAACTTTATTTTGATGGCATCTGTAGGATTTTCTGTATTTAAAAATCATGCTCTCTGAAAATGGAGACAGTTCCACTTCTTCCCAATTATAATGTCTTTTCTTTTTCTTGCCTGATTGCTCTTGCTCTGCCTCCCAGTACTATGTTGAATTGGAGTGATGACAGAGCATCCTTATCATTTTCCTGATCATAAGAGGAAAAATATGTGACCTTTCACCAGTGGGTATGATGTCATTAGCTTTAGGCCTGTCATATATGGCGTCTATTATGTTGAGGTACATTCCTTCTATACCTAATACGCCAAGTTTTATCATGAACAGATGTTGAATTTTTTCAAATTCTATTTTTTTCTTTCATTTATAATATGGTGTATTCACATTGATTTGTGTGTGTCAGATCATCCTTGCATCCCAGGGATAAATCCCAGTTGATCCTTTTAATGTGCTGCTGAATTTAGTTTGCTAGTATTCTATTGTGAATTTTTTACAGTGATTCATCAGGGACATTGATCTGTAGTTGACTTTTCTCAATTTGGGATTAGGATAATGCTGGCCTTGTAAAATGAGTTTGGGAGTGAACTTTGGTTATTATGAAGTTTGAGAAGGACTGGCAATTTTTTCTTTAAATGTTTGGTAAAATTTTCCAGTTAAGCCATCTGTTCCTGGAATTTTCTTTGTTGGGAGATTTTTGATTACTGATTCAATCTCCCTACTAGTAATTGGTCTGTTCAGACTGTTTCCTGGATTCAGTCTTGGGTAGGGTTTGTCTTTCCAATAATTTTTCCATTTCTTCTAGAGCTATACTCAGCATTGAGCTGGACTGTGACTCACTCCCCTGCTTGGGCAGAGGTAGACCTGTCTTCAAGGCTGGTAAAGCTCTCCATTTGAGGGCCTCAGTCAGGCAGACCTGCACCCCACTAAGTTCCCTGTTCAGACCACACCACCAATTTGATTCTGTAGAGAGCACAGTGCTGGTTAGGACACTTGGGTGCTGCAGGTAGGAATCTGGCCTGCCAAGATCCAAGTAGTAGTTGTTGCAAGCCCATTCACCCTTTTCCATCACAATCAGATTCCCAGTGGGCAAGTTCAGCAGATTTCCAGGGTTAGACTAGAGTGAGAAGCAATCCATAATGCTGGGGGGGCTGGATGGCCACTCTGGGCTCTCTCTTCCCAGGGAGGCACCTAGGCTCAGAGGAGACCTCTCAGAGTGGTGCTGTGTTATCCTATACGTTAATGCATTTGTAGTTTTATTTACACAGGGAATGGTAGTTTTTTTTTCTCTACCATGAATATTTTTATAATTCTATCCATCAGAATGAGGTGGCTTCAAATGTAAATCCTTTGATCAGTGCTTCTCAGAATCACCTGTTAGGAGGCTGGTAGGCTCCACCCCAGAGCTTATGATTCACTAAGTCTAGAGTGGGGCTCAAGAATTTGCAATTCTAACAAGTTCCCAGGTGCTTTTGCTGGTTGAGGCAGCCACACTCATAGTGTCAGTTTAGCCCCAAGAATCTGCCTCTGTTTTGGGCTTTTTCTGTTCATTTCTACTTGCATTTGATGAAAGATGCAAACTATACACACAAAACTCTGAGATGGAGAACAAAATTTTATTCTAAAAATAGATCTCAGTAACAACAAAATACACCAAAAGCTGGTCATTATAGTAAAAAGAAAGGTACAGAAATTTGCTTTAAATTTTTTTTCTGAAAAAATACAAAATTATACTGTCAGTATATCTGAATTATTCATTTTATGGCTTAACCAAAGAAATTTTAAAATCATAGACTGGATTCTGCCTGCTATTTAGACATAGATCTGGATTGCTTTTATCTTCAAGTAAATATATTTTCAAGGAATGAAAACAAAATTGAACATTTGCTTAAGTAAGCATTATTAGGGATATGAATTTATGCTTGGGAAATACTGGTTTGCATCACCATTTCCCTCAATTTTTGTAGATAACCAAAAAAACTGCATCAAAGTACTCCTATTTGAAAGTAACAAATTATACAACTTATATACAAAGAAAAGGTGTAACTAAATTATTTCAAACCCAAAGCACAGGAAAGGCATATAATGAGATTTAGTACTTAAAAAGTGGTTTTACTTCTTCAAAGTGCTAACAAATACTCAAGAAAATTTCAGGCCTGTACCTTCAGCACTTGAAGTACTGAAATGTCAAGAATGCAGGAGACAAAGTGAAAATTAGAAGGCCCTGGTCACTATAAAACATACCTGAAGTACATTTTGTGAAAGGACAGCAATTAGGGCTAATTTAGTAACATACAACTCAGCTGCTGGACCACATCTCTTTTCAAATTAATGTAAACACATGTGGTCCATAGTTCCTGCACACTGCATGTGTCACATTACACCTTACAACCATATTTTGGATAATTCTTATTCACATTTGTCACTTTAACTGGCCATAATGCAGAGTAAGTAGAAATCCTTTTATATCAATATTCCTGACATGGCATGCTCTGAAAACCAGAAGCTGATTACAAGTTACATTAATTTCTATGAAACACAGGTGCATATTTATTAGGACATCTTAGCTTTTTTGGATTATCAAAAATTGGTGTGACTTAGTAGGACTAAATACTTTTGTCAAAACCTGACCCTGAGTTTTGAGTGCTGTAATATAAACTGTAAAACAGAACACAGTCCAAAATAATTTGGCTAATATTGGTGTCCCTACAATACTGTGATTTTTCCATCTGTTAACATAATGTCTCTTCAATAAGGGAACAAGAGGAGTGGTCTGAAGAATACCCACATAAAGATGCAGGGAAGAACCACTGTTTGAAAACTTGATATGAATTTATTCCAAAAACCACTGGTATCTTAGTATAAAAATCGTGTTTCCCCAATCCTTGAGTAAAATCAGCAGTGTGTGAAAATGCAGCATTTTCATCCTGTAGGTTTGGTAGCCTGAGGGGAGCCCACAATCCCTGGCTTGACAAACTGCATTAACCTACAGTTCTAAGTATAGTTCTAAATGTTTTGGAAATCACATAAGAGTTTAAGTTAGATGTGTTTACACTAAACATTTGTAGATCTACATCTCTTAAAAATATTTACTAAGTATAAAATTAGTAGCTGAATATGAAATAAAGCAATTTCCAGTGGTGACAATATAGCAAATAACCTGTTTTTACTACCAACAACTATGTCTTTATCATGTTAAACATCACAATTCACTGAAATTACACAGAAGAAAAAAGTTTTATCAACTGCTATTGAAAGCTCAAAAGAACTTAAAAAATAACAGGTTAACAGGACTAAGCCCAGGGTATTGTTTCTGGTTTTGATTTGGGGGTGGGGGAGCTGGGGGAATCCTAAACCAAGTATTCAGCTTGAAAACATAAAATATTGATGCCTAAGGCTGATTTACTTGTATAATTTCTCTTGTGTGGTACTAGTAATTAGGGTATATCCAACTCTGAACGGCATTAGTTCTTTGTACAACAAAGGTACTCAGAACTCCTAAATGCACTGAGAAACTCCTTATTTGGATGCCCACATGACATTGTGTGCCCTTCAATGGTGAGGTCTCCCAATTACCAGCCATAGCTAATGCCACAAAAAAATGGGACAGGACTTGTCATATATATTTCCTCAGAGTGAATATAACTCTTCCAGTAACTGCTCTGAATGTTCATTTAAAAACACAAGCCAAACTTTTTTTACCTTTAGTAATCATCACAAATCTTTATATATTTATATAATACACTGTATATTATATGCATTGCCTGTTTATACTATTTTCAAGAACAGAATATTGTTTTAAATAATCAGCCAAAATTAACTGACAGGGCCCATCAGTCACGTTTTCCACTGGTCCATGGGTTCCTTAAATGATGGCATCATGTTCATCACTGTAATATATCAAAAGTTAAAATTACTTTTTGTATTTGTACCCAAACTACTTATATGTTCATATGTTTAAATAAAGTACCAAATAATTTCAAGCTTCAGAATCAAAACTGTCATTGTTTTGTATAAAATTTCTTAAGTACCTGGTTTACTTGTAGTGTTTAAGGAGTCAAGTGGTGGTTCAGAATGTCAAACAGACCTCTACCCAAATCTGCTGTGCCTCTTAGTGGCTGTGTAACTTTCCACCAGTTTACTATAATCCTCTTTAAAAAAGCAAGCAACTGTCATTTCTTGAGGGTTTACAGGGCCAGGTGTTACACTGCAGACTTTCCATCCCATTTAATCATCTCAGCCCCCTATGCAGAGGCTCAGAAGCTAACCAAGCGTATGAACTCGTCTCGAGCACTGTCTGCTGTGCTGCTGCTTCCTTTATTTAGGCATATGGGAAGGCACCTTCTAATCAGCAGTAAAACCAGACTCAAAACTAAGTCTGCCCCAAACCCCATCTCTTAACCATTTCACTCGTAAGAAACACAGAAGCTAATTTAATCAGTGTTATTATCCAAAAAATGAAAACCAGAAATAACTTATTATGAGATAAAGAAAGCCTGTTTCTAATAGAACAAATATTGTCTTTCTTACGGAATGTGGTATTAAAAATAACTTCAAAGTAACTATTTGCTTTAAAATGCACAATTTTTTTATGTAACACTATGAGAAACAGCCAATTAATTAAACTAAAACACAATGGTTTCTCATCCCATAGACTAAGGTAAATCCTAATTTCACAAGTGTTAAAATGTGGAAAAAAACAAACGTGAACTTAGACTGAACTAATTAATGGTATTTTCATCTACTGGTTCCTATGTGAAAATAAGACTCCTATTAGAGTCAAACTCTGTCAGCACAGTTCCATCTAACTTCCTCCATGGGGCAAGTAGCATTATATGGTCATATATATATATATATACACACACATGAGGAGAAAGTAACCCATAAAGCTAAAATTACATACTTGGTAATTAAGGCAGTTTAAAATAGAAGAAGCACAGTTTAATTTACTTGCTTCACTGTTTTAAAGCCTCAACTATATCAATAAATGTTTTTAAAAATATTACATTACCAAAAAATGAGTGGCACTTAATTTAATATAATTAAAATGTGCCTGGTGAAATTTACCAAGAAAACAGATGGTAAATATTTCTAGAAACAGTGATCTCAAAAAATATTTCAAAGCTTAAAGCATTTTTAAAAATTAACTATTTAGTCACAGTTGCCTCAAATACTTTTTTCTTTTATGGGTTGATCTAAAAGGATGAATCTGAATATGCTTTTAATCTGGCAAAACACCACTGCGATATCCTTTTAAAGTGATTTTGATTTGAAAAGGCAACTGAATTTAAATGTAATTTTTAAGTTGTTTTTTTAATTCAATGAAAAATTTGATAAACATTTTCATACTATATTCCTTTTCTAGAAATTCATAATTCACAACAACACATCGGAGGCTTAGATTCTTCCAGCAAAGTAACTTGTTCTATTGTACTTTGTTCAATATTTCACAGATTTTCTGACACGGAAAGTATGTGGCACATGTATGTGTATTACACCTTGAGCAAATTTTAGAAAATGATAACCTGTTCTATGGTGTTTATATACACTATCAAAAGAATGAGCTGGCATTGCACATACAAAGCTCAAAAGAGAAAACCAGAAGGACTATGTTAAAGAAACAAAGCTGGGCAATAATACTTCCCCAAACTGTAAGACTGATACAATTATATGAAAAGGTGGACATGACTTACTGACTGGGCCTTGATAAAGCTCACCTGAAAGAGGTAACATATTATTCTACAGTAAAACTAACAATTAATTTGATACAGTGAATTATTAGGGAAAATAAGGCTGCCAGAAGAACTTTCGTTTGTCTCTTCATAGAAGGCAAAAATCATGTTTTTACCAAACATATTATTTTAATGCTACTGACAAACACAGGACACACTAGGTCAGCAGCCTGGTAAAACCTGTATTTCTTAGGATCAGAGGAATAAACAAGTGAAAAGGATTGGCTTAACTTGGTTCTTTGGTAAAAAAAAAAAAATGTATGACACCAACATTTACATTTTTACACATGTACACATCCATTTTAATTTGTAAATATACTCATAAGCTTGTACACAGTTTACTATGGGCATATAGGATTAATGGGAATAAAACTCAAAAATCTACAAATTATTCATCACTGGCCCTACTTTAATACTCTTGATATTTAAATAAACACAGAAATAATAATAAAAGCCCTGACCAATCAAAACTCACATGGTTCTATACCGAATGCCTCTTCTCGAATAATACATTTTGCATCCAATATAAAGAACAGATAGAATTCCCAGTGTTAATACAATACCACCAACAAAGCTGCCAGAGTCAAACTTCGATCCTTTATTTTCTTTAGAATTAATAGTAGCTGTGACTGGAACAGAACAAAAAAAATAGGCTTTAGTGCCTTTTAAAGACATTGTAATAAGCTAAAACTAAGTTTTTCTATATAAGAAAGCTGAATTGGGGGTGGGGGGGGACCTAAGCATAGAAAGTTGGTCTCCAGCCTACTCCGCGTCCAGCGCCTGCCTTGGCTCTAGCTTTCTTTGGTTCATCCACACGCTTCTTAAGGAACCCCCAGCGCCTGCAACCCCAGGACGTGAGGGTGCTTGGTGGTGATGGACTTGGCCATCTACCAAAACCTCAGAGGCAGCAAGATTTGGAGGAAGTTTTTTCTTATCAATCCTCTTAAGAGTTCTTGCCTTAACAGCATCAACAGGCCTGGGCAACAGCTGAAAATCTTGAAACTGGGTCCAGTTTGAGTAAATAATTCTAACTAAAGTTTCTCCTTTTGAATAAATTGGGAATTTTAACTAGTTTGGTTTTATTATGTCACAGCCTCTGAGACACTGAACGTAAATTGCAGTAATCAAGAAAATATACGGAGAATATATGAAAACAAAAGAAACCACAAAGTCTATTTGTTTTGACAGGTGTGATCATCATTAGCTTTTACACAGAACTTCAACTTGGAGTAACTTAAAAAGAAAATCTTAACATTTTGAATTCATAGTTTCCTTCACAGGCATTGTATTTTAAACGCAAAAAATGGAGTGCTGAGACTGATACTACATTCGTGATCATAGCTAATGCCACTTGAAAATATCTTTATAAGGGAGCTGAAATAGCTCATTTGGGAGAGTTATTTTAGACAAAAGATCTAAAAATATCTGCATGGCACAAATGAAATCAAACCAAAGTTCATGATTTCAGTTTAGAAATCATGTAGACTACCTCATGATAGAAAGGAATTAGGCAGGCTCAAAGAATAGGTATGACAAGATTTTCAAACCATGTAAAATAAAATTCCCTGTTAGGATAAATTACTTATTCACACATGGGTCTTATAGACTCATTATTTGGCATGATTAGTTTGGAAACTCGTTTGAAGATACTAGGTCAATCTACTATTTTCCTGGTCTCTACAAATACTTTAATTGGAAATCACTGTCAAAATTTTTCTGTTCTTATACATGTGGCACTGAACAACTATTTTCAGCATAGGAAAAATAGGTGAATTTTCATACATACTTGTTACTGATGAAGAAATAGATGTCACTGAACTATTGTGGGTTGTGGTCAGCTGGGATGTGTTTTGTGAAGCACTTGTTATCTTGGGTGTAGACTTTGACGTGATGGAAGTTGTATTTGTTAAGACTCCTGGTGGTGTCATTTTAGATGCTGCTGTGGATTTCAAGGTAGTGACCGTCACATTCTTTGAGACCGAGGAAACGGGAGTTGTAGATAGTTTTGCTGTGGGTGTCATGGCGGTGACTGTCACATTCTTTGAGACTAGAGAAACTGGAGTTGTTGATGGTTTCACAGTGTTGTTGGAAGATCTAGTTGTATGGCTGGTAGTTTCTGCAAGAGTATCAAGGAACATTAAAACTGGAGCGAGGACTTAGGGAATTAAGATCCGACCTCACTGTGGTGTTCATGGTCAACCGTAAAGAAAGGCTTAGCAAATACAGCAGCATGAAGGATACTAGCCCATTAATACTTCGCACTATACAGCAATAAAATATCTCAAACTAATAAAATACTCAACAGAGACTAGGCCTATGTTTACATATAGTTAGGAATTTTTGTGAAGATACGAAACAAAATCCAGAGGATTGAGTTCCATCAGAGTTCAATATAGAAATAATGTCTTAACCATCTGTCTCAACATCTTACCATATTTCATTACAAATGATGAATCTGTGACATGGAAGAATGATGAATCACCCACTGAATGGATGCACTAGCTATGCATACGAGAAGGGTTTTTAAAGTTTCGCTGCCACATGCCTCCACAGAGCTTTGAGGATAAGCAGTAGCTGCATGGTTCTAACCCTGGAGTAGGATGTGAGCATGAGAGAGATTGTTGTTAAGGGAAAGATCAACTCCCTACAGTGCGTTAGGAAGTGAAATACCATCGCAGAAAGTGTAGCTTGTTGGAAATTCCACACTGGTGATGATTTTCCATCATTGGGAGGACATTTCTAAAACGATTTCTTGAGGCTTTAAAAACCCAAAAGCCGATTTTATATAGGAGAATCACCGGTATTGATTTAAAATAAACTAGAACAACTCCTTAGTTCATACCTGAATCAAATTTTTCTTTTTTGCTATAAAATAATACTGTTACGTCCATGAAAAGGAAAAGGTACCAATCATGTCACTATTCCTTAAATTCCTATAAACAAATGTCTTTTGTTCCCCATGTGGAAAAATGTTTCCTTTTTTATATATGAAATATGTCATATGACCAAAAGCAAACCTTTCTGTGTTAATCTTACTTCATACTGAATCTTCTTTGGAGCTCCACAACTTAACTGATGTTTACAACTAATGGTACCAAGTTACAGTAATTTAGTATATACTGCCAAAGGAGTGAAAAACTTTAATAGCTATTTGCCCTTTTAATATGATGTAATTTATTTCTGTATTTGTTTTCTACTTTCCAAGTTTATTTGCAGGTTTATTGGCTTCTGATGTTTCCGGCATACTCCCACTTTACTCTCTGTCCAAGTGCTAAAGTGGAAAGAACTAGTAAGCAGCGAGCTTGCCCTTCCCCAGTGAGGCAGTGCCTGCAAGTTCCCTCTTCCACCACTGCTGTTAGGCACCAGTGATTACTTCATGTATTACCATCCTGCCGTCTATGATTATTTTGGACTTTCACTGAAAGACTTCCCATATTTATTTTCAATTTAGCTGTACAGGCTGGTTTTAACAGTGCTGCTTGTTTGCATACCGCTTTTACTATTCAAATTCCTGTTACACTTCCTTCACAGGTCTCTACTGTATGGTCATCTATTCTACTGAGTATTAATCTAATTTTTTTAAAAAGCCAAAATAGTATTTTTGTACTCTACAGACCAATAAATTGTAATTATTCAAATACATGATACAAATTCTATGAACTTAAATCTTACTATTCAATTCTGAATGTTCCATATAGAGATATAGTAATACACTTTAGAATGGAAATAATCACTTTTATTTTAAATCAGTGAATGAATCCTACTGTAGTGAAATTAAATACAGCAAAGAACCAGTGTATATCATATCTTTGAAACAGAATGGTATTTGCAGAGTAGAACAATAAACACAATGCTGCTTTTAACAGTGTTAACACCCACAGACCACTCCCCTCTCTCCACCATAATAATAAATTCTCAGAGATGCTATACAAAGTCACATGTGCAAAAAAGGTGCGATGTTAACAGGTTAGTTCTCCACTAAGAAAATCCAAATGTGCTAAGAAACTAAGCAGCTAAAATTTTCTACAAACTGACAAAACAGGCAAGTGTTTTGTATTAAACCGTGTTTAATGATGTTTAAATGTGAAAACTGCAATGCAAAGATGCTTTAAGGTCAGAACTCACATCTGGTAACCCAATCCTCGTCTGTAGTATAAGTGAACGGCCATTAGTGCTCCTCTGCAAGTGAAACCCTTCCTCCGTGGAAGTCTGGATGATCCCTCTCCCATAGCTGTTTACCTGCTGGCTGGTGCGTGTGTGCGTGCGTGTGTCAGAACCTGCAGAAATCCAGCAGGACAGACCATCCAGGACTCGCAAAGGGTTGCGCCCTACCTGACTCTACCAGTCTCAGCCACTGAGTTTCCAGCTTCTGACAGGCAGAAGTTGAAAGTTCTCATCATAAGGAAATAAAAATTTTGTGACTAAGTATGGTGGCAGATGTTACTGTGGGGATCATTTCACAATATACACAGGCATCAGATATCACACCGCACACATGGAACTAACATATCAGTCATATCTCAATTAAAACAAAGTACTAAAAACAAGATCAAAACAAAAGAAGTTGTAAAGATCCCAAATGGGTGTTACTGGGTGTTTCAGTGTGCTGTGTCCACTCCCACCTCTGCCCGTGGAAGGAAGATGAGTGCCCCCCCTCACCCCCAGCCACCCTGGAGCGGCTTCAGGAGAACCACCTGTGGAACAGGACTGGCATCTCCCGGACTGGATGGGACACAGACTGGGACTTGACTCAAGCCTGGCCAGTCGGTGTAAAGGTGAGCTGCTGGGGCCGAGCTGGCTCCATCTCTCGGAGCTGGAAGTGGACTCTCCACTGATCACAAAGGCGCTCATTTCCCACGAACCCAATCAGACCCCATGGAAGACAGCTGGAAAGAGGGTGTCTCAACAGATGGCCTCCCAACAGAGTTCTGCACAGAGGGAGCTGACCAGCAGAGGGGTAGAACACCAAAAGCTAGGGCCAAGGGCGGGTGGGGTGGCGAGTGGGGATCAGCTGGAGGAGGCCCCGCCGTACCACGGGAGCTGCGGACAGGCTCCAGCTGAAGGGGCTCCCTGGGGAGGTGCACGCCTGCCAAATGCTACGCCAGGTGGAAACACGGCAGCCAGCAGCCCCTGCCTTTCCTCCCTTAGAGACCTTTAGGCCTGATCCTGTCAGCGTCACAACCCACAGAAGTGAGGGGGAGAAAGGCAGAGCAAAGGAGGAAGACGACAGCGTCACCTTCCCCACAGCAGGCCCAGGCTGGCAGAGGGCAGGAATTCTGACTCAGCACACAGTTCCTTACTGTAATATTATTCTAGAAAGGGGAGGCCCCACCATTCAGGGAACCGGACACCTTACCGATCCCACCTCAGCTGCTTCCGGTGGGAGGGTGTTCATGCTTACTGTTCCGGGCTAACTCTGCTCCCCCACCATGCAAAGTCATATGTTGAAGTCCTAACTCCCAGTACCTTCAGGTGTGACCTTATTTGAAGACAGGATCTTCACAGAATAAGCAAGTTTAAATGAAGTCATTAGGATGGGCCTTATAAATGGGGAAACAGGGTTGAGTAACTGGTGTCTTTATGACAGGGAACATTTGGAGATGGACACACACATGGAAGAACACCATGTGCAGATGAATGCAGACCTCAGGGGGATGCTTCCCCAGGCCACGGGGTGCCAACGACGGCCTGCAAACCACCAGAAATCGGGTGTGCGCATGGAACAGGTTCTCCCTCAGGGACCTCAGGAGGAAGCAACCCTGCTGACTTTGGATTCGATCTTGGATTCGGGCCCCCAGAACTGTGAGATGATGCATTTCTGTTATTTGATCCGCCCAGTGTGTGGCCCTTTGTTACGGCAGGCCAAGCAAACTAGAGCGCTCAGGTTCACCGTTCTTTTCGGTTCTGACAATGTGTGTCTGTGCAGCTGTACAAGTGGTACTTAGTAGTGGCCGGACTGAGCTGGTTTGTTTTACAGATCTTTGAAACGAATTACTGTGAGATGAATTAATTCAGCAATATTTGTCAAACCACTCTCAAAACTTGTTTGAATAAAACTTTGAGGTCATCTATAGATTTCAATTGGAGATACAAGGATTTCTTGATTTCTGGACTTTTAACTCCTGGTTTTAACTAAAATTCAGAGGAAAATGACATGAAAGGCTGTGACGGTGGCATCGATGCACCTTCCTTCCCAGCAGCTGCAGCGCTCAGGAGCAATGGGGGGTAGGAGCTCAAACTCCCATCGGCTCAGCCATTGCTCGCTGGGCCGCCTTAGACAGGTTAAACTCTCCTTCCTCGTCTATAAATAGGAATTTACAAGGGCTTGGGAGAATTAACAGATAATTTGTACTGAGCACTGAGTAGAGCACCTGCTACAGCAGGAAGTGTTCAGTGAACGTCTGTTCTCTGTTTTAGCACTGGTTTTATTACATGTATCCCCCCTACAGAGCTGCACTGTGAAGCTCCCTCCCTACAGAAGGCTCAGGAGAGGGCACTCCCAGGGTCTCCTAATGCCACGAGCATCACTGCCAGCTGAATAACACCACATCAAAGAGGATACTCCTGGGCTTTGTTTCTTCAGTTCACCTATGCAATTCTGCAAACAGAAAAAAACTGATGTCCACGCCTTTTGCTATTAACACCTGCTGGCCACCTTATTACCACAAAGCCAAGGCCACTAGGAAGCAGCCTGTTCTTTTCCTAGGACCAAGTAAAACCACTCGCCCTCTTCAAAGTCTGGATTCATTCCAACTATCTCTGTATAACCATGATGTGTTGAAATAACTTTCCTTACTCCTATAACCTCGAGTCCAAAAATAATCTAAGTGCCATTTTTTTTTTCCTTTAACCTAAATAGTTCAAAGTTAGGGGGACAATTCATGTTCATGAGGGCATCAAATACACAAACCAGAGTTCAAAATATATATCAATTTAAACAAATATCAGTTATTTCTAAACATGATAGTAGTATTTTTTCATTTTTTACTACAGTTATCAAAAATACAGATGTCAAAAAGACATGAGCATAAATTTCTGATGCCACAGTTATTTTGAGAGGTCTGTGATTCTAAACACAGTCTTCAGCTTCAGTAAATTAAAGGGTAACTACTCATGTGTGGCTCTGTGGATATTTTTAAACATGAG